TGCAGGCAGCAGCTATTGGGATGTGTCTAATTCTTGTGGTGCGGCGGAGTCATCCCAGTTGGAGAAGCGAAAATACGAGCAGCTTTCTCTGGTGTCAGTGGAGATGCTGCAGCAATTCAGCCCTCAACCAGAACCAGGCATCCCACAGCAAAGTTCTCCCCCTTGGTTTCTGTAGGGGAAGACTTGACCCGTGTCGTGATGCCGAGGCAAGGGCCGTGCCGGGAGGAGGCAGGTTGGGAGCGCGGCGCTGCCCGGCCGCGCTGTAAGGCTCTAATATACCACATTTCTGCTAAAATCTCTCTTCCGCACCAGCACATTTCAAGGGAGTTTCCTGTTTTAAATAAGCCAGCTATAGTATCAGGCTTCCTGGAAAAGAGGGCACACAAAAAAGAGATTAAAAAAAATAAAACCTAAGCTATTCCATTATGGTTTGGACTTGTACAGCTAACTGTGTTTTAATTACTCGGGATAAACTGTACCCTCAAAAGGTGCAGAATAATAAAACCATAAGATGGAAGAGAGAAGCCAGCTAATCCTGCTCCTGGCATGTAGATCCCGACAGCCTTACAAAGGCCTGGGGGAGGGGGGAGCCCTTTAAAATAGTGATTGCCAAGGTTTCCAAGAGCCCCGTTTGTAAAAACAAAAACAAAGCCAAAGAAGAGCACAGCAGATGAAGCCCTGAATTTCAGAGAGGAGGCTTTTTTCCTCCTTTTTCTCCACTTTTTCCTTCCCCAGCTGAAGTATTGACTGAACTAATGCTGGCGAGTGTGTGGTGGGACACTGGTGGCTGATGCTCTTCACTTGTCTTGAGCATCACCCACCTTGAGTGTCACTTCCCCTGAGTATCACCCACTGCTCCCAAGGCCGGGGCAGTGTGGGGCAGGGGAAGGTGCTGGGCAGGACCCCCCTGAGCCTGAAGGGTCACAAAGCCTCTTCTTGCCCCAAGACTGGGGTGTTTTTATTTATTTTTCACCCCTTATTAAATTCAGAACCACGCCAAATCTCCAGAGCTGGGATCAGAGAGACGAGGAGCACGTCATCGCCTTGGCCAAGGGTGTGATGGTAGAAGAGGGAGTGAGGAGGAGGCCCTCTCAAGTGATGTTCCTCCTGCGGTGGTGGCACTGGTGTGATGGACCAGGACAAGTGTTGGACCTGCAAAAGGAACAGCAGATCGGTTAAAGGATAAGCCCAGTCTTAAACACAGGCTGATGGGAGGGTGAGGTTTAGGTGTGGGTAGACAGAGTGGCAGCTTGCAGAGGGATGTAGGAAATGGTGCGTCAGCTCCCACCGGCCTCTGGCCACATTTGGTGGCCGTCGTGTCACCAATGCTGTCCCCACACCCGCCTGCTGCTGCAGCAGGCTGGGAGCATCACGGTAAAATGGTTCCTTATTCTGTAACTAGGTCTGGTTGTGGAGAACTTGTGGGCCTTGAGGACACGAGTGAGATTTAATGAGGTTTCTAACATCTGATCTGAGGAATGCACAACTCCAGAAAATATTAAACAAAAGCAAAGTATTTTTATCGTTGTTAATTACAGCGTCGTGGGCCTGATCTGAAGTGGGTTTCA